TCCAACTGTACATGACAATTTCACAAATGTTCTTGCCCAGGCTGGCTTCAAACCATGATCCTCAGATCTCAGCCTTCCAAGTAGCTAGGATTGTATGTGAGTCACTGGCTGCCGGCCCTCAGAGACTTCTATAAATCAAAATGAAGCCAACAGAGCCAACACAGCTAGGCCAGCCTGTATCTCCAGACAGCCGACATCCTGAGGAGCTGCCAGCATCTCCAGACTGGCCTCTTGCTGATCACAGGTTGGACACTGCCCAGTTTTCTTTCTCCTGACTTCAGGTCACATCACAAACATGCTTGGGCTGTTCAGAGCTCTCTCCTCCAACTTCCTGTGAGGTCAGATTCTATCTAGCTTTGCCCCAACTGGCAGGCTCAGAAAGTTCCTTCATCAACTAGGAGGGCCTGGCTGTTCAGCACGCCACCAAGGGGAGTGGCCTATCTGATGACCACTTCTCTGAGCCTCACCCCTTCAGCCCATCCCTCACTTCCTGAACCAGGGCAGGGCCCCCAGGAAACCACTTACCACAAATTTTGACAGCAGCATTTTAGATTACACCCTTTGGAGGCCCTTTGGAGGCCCAGCAGAGAGGGGAAGAGACTCATCTGGTGAGCTGATGGGAAGCAGTTTGAAGCCTACAGGCCTGGCCCCGAGCTTTCACTGTGTTGTTCTGTTACTGAAATCCTCAGCCAGGCACTGTAGTGGGTACCTGCACTTGGAAAGCTGAGGTAGAGCTATCTCTCTCTTCAGGCCAAGAATAGGAGACCAGTCTGGGCAGGCTAGCAAGACTCCATCTCAAAAATTAATTCTGCCAGGCACCAGTGAGTGGCTCATGCCTATAATCCTAGCTGCTACTCAGGCAGCTGAGATCTGAGGATTGAAGTTTAAAGCTGGCTGGGGCAGAAAAGTCCTTGAGACTATGTCCAATTAACCAGCAAAAAAAAAAAAAGCCAAAAGGGAAACTGGTTCAAATGGTAGAGCACTAGCCTTGAGCAAAAAAGCTCAGGGGCAACATCCAGTTCCTGAGTTCAAGACTCAGTAGCAACACAAAATAATAATAAAAATATTAACAATAATAATAAATTAGGATCCCTGATGAATCCTTATCAAGGATCTTTGCAGAGCTTCCCCAGGGCCTCCCTCAACCTCTTGCCAACTCTGCAGGCTCTCTTCATGTTCCCCTCACCTTTCCAGTATAACTGATCTAGAGGGTGAGGAGAAGTGGACAGCCTTCACAGTTGTGAGGCCAAGAGGAGAGGCTAGGGAGAAGGTGTGATTCATCAGCAGATTGTAAGCAGGGGGAATTCCAGAGCAAGGGAGGGTCATGGCTGCTCCAGGTTATGCTATCTATCCTAGCGGCAAGAGCCAGCCTCCATCTGGGGCTATGCATCCTCAAACTTCTATAAACCAGGGTAGGACAGAAAAGGGTCACCACTAGAAAGGCTTCAGTCCGGCTCTTTATTTTCATTGCCCTTGAATTGCCCTATTTCTGCTCCTGCTCAAAATTTAAAAGTTTGAAATAACCCACACAACCCCTGCAAAATTTGGTTGGAGAACTCATTTATTGCACAGCTCTACACGCATGATCTCATTGTTCATGTTCACAATGCTACATGTTGTAGTTATGTGACTAACTCCATTACACAGGTATGAAACACAGGCTCAAAACAACATGTCAAGGCTGAAGGGCTAGTAAGATGGCAAGTAAAGATTTGAACCTGACTGTGTCCAATTCTAAACCATGTTCCTTAGTGTGATCACGGTGGGATGCTGAAGAAAAGCAAATCAGAGCTGAAGGAAAATAGCCCCCTGCAGACAATCAGTTCTAAAGTCCTGCCTGAAGGACACCTTTACTGGATACCCCAGGCTAAACTATCAGCCCCCCACTTCCAAGACAAGTTGCTTCTACTTTCCCTACCGTAGTCTTCCGCTATCATTAATATGTCCACCGTTTCAATTAGCTAACTTATTTATTATCAGCTTCCCCCATCAGAGGTCTGCTCTATGAGACACATGATAATTGGAATGCTGTATTTTGTCCACTGCTGGGTCTCCAGAACCCAGCAGTCATATATAAAATGCTAATAACTGCTGGATGAATGAATATATAAATGAGTCCTGAAATAGAAAAGTGAAAGAGGAACAAAGGAGAGGAAAAAAGACAGAATCTAGCCGGGCGCTGGTGGCTCACATCTGTAATCCTAGCTACTCAGGAGGCTGAGATCTGAGGATCACAGTTCAAAGCCAGCCTGGGCAGGAAAGTCCTTGAGACTCTTATCTCCAATAAACCACTAGAAAACCAGAAGTGGCACTGTGGCTCAAGCGGTAGAGCACTCACCGTGAGCTGAAGAGCGCAGGAACAGTGCCCAAGCCCAGAGTTCAAGCCCCACAACCGGGAAAAAAAAAAAAAAGACAGAATCTGGACCCTGAGACGAGTCTGACAAAAGGAAATGAGGGCCTGGCACCCCCCAGGACGCTCCAGAGAACCTTGTTGATGGCAGTAGTAATTTCCAGTTGCCACAGCCCCAGCTTGAAGGCCTCTAGAAACTGGGGAAGAAGAACAGCAAGCAGGGCAAAGAGGTTTGTAGCCTTGGAACAAAGGCCTATGGACATACAGCTGGCCAGAGGGGTGGGGCAGGGCAGTGGCATGGGCAGAGGGACAGCCTGGGCAGACAGGGAAGAGGGAGGAGTCACTGAGGAGGGGCTGAAGGCAGCTCTGCAGCTGCAAAGGTCTCTCTCACACACACACACACACACACACACACACACACACACACACACACACACATTCACCAGAGTCCCCTCCACCACCAACACAGCACAGAACAGCTTCACAATTAACTCTCTATCACCAGGGCTGAGGCAGTGTTTGTGGCTACCTCCCAGCTCTGGGCCAAGAGCTTCTTTTCCAAGTTCTGAGAATGGGATGGAGGAGGTAAGATGTATGGTATTGCTACAAACCCTTTCCCCCTCCAGTCCAGGCCATCTCTCAGGCTGTGGCCTTTGGCCTGCTTTGGTGTAAACACACTGACTCTGGGATAGCAGTGGATTTGGTAAGGCCAGTGTTTACTCTGGAGCTGAGATATCTCATGCCAGAGGAGTAAACTCCCTCCCTTGCTCCTGGTGTCTACCATCTCCTAGTGGCACACATGGGACATATCCAGTTGTAAAGCTCTTGAAAAGAGCCCCTCCACCCACTGGGCTGCTTTTTTTTCTTCTTCTTCTTTACTTTTTTGGTTTTCTTGGTATAGAAGTTTACAGAGCACTTTACCAAAAACCTTATAAAGAAAAGCAAGCAATCCTGCTTTATCATTTGGAATTCATGTAGAGTCAGAAAAGGTAAGTAGATTGGTTAGGCAGATCAGAGTGGAAAAAGCAGGGACTAGATGGTGAGGAAATCTGAGCTCTGGTCCTTATTTGGCCAATAGGGACCCAGTCTGGAATCATCTCACCTCAGGCTCTTCTGCCTTCCAGTGTAAATGGAGCAGGCTAATCTGAGCAGCCTTCCAATCTGGTGACTATCCATCTTTGATGGTATGTAGCACGTCCAGGCTAAAAGTCAGAAAGCAATCCAGGCTGGACTCCCAGTCCACTGCCCTTTCTATTCACCCTGCTGCCACTTCTAATAACAAGAAATAGAAATGCCACAAAGCAGTTCTTAAACAAACCAATCCCCTAGCAGCTGGGATTTGGCCTGGGGCTAACCAGCTCCAAGCCCCATCCCCAGGGACCCAAGGGATTTGTTGTCCAACCTTTCAGGAAGGGAGGGGGCAGAAGAGGCAGCTACCACGCTAATAGCAGGTGTACAAAGGGAAGACACACCAGCTAACTAGAGTGAGCCCAGAGGTGAAGAATGACCGTGAAAGAGTCACTTGCTTTAGGGTCTCATTCCCTAGGCTTTCTGGGTAGCTGGGGTTCAGTGGCGCACGATCCCGAATGCCGCAATGTTAAGGCTGGAAAGGTAGCCTCTTCCTCGGGAAGGCCAGGCCTCTCCGGGCTGTCATTACTCTCCCTGCTTATTATTTCTTGAGCAAGCGCCATGTGACTGGGCTGTGTGCAAAAGCATGATTGGGGAGACTAGGAACCCCCAGGCCTGAGTTCCCTGTTAGTTGATGCAGTCCTGGTCGCCTCCTGGGGGCCTCAGAGCAACGGACTGGCCAGTATACGGACCACAGCTTAGGGAGTGACCTCCAGAACGAAACTCTTACCACGCCTTTGCCGCCCCCCCCAAAAAAAAAAAACCCTCACACACACACACACCCGCCTCCAGCCATTACAGGTCTCCCTTTTTCCTTTTGTTTATGAAAAGTTGCTCCCCCACAAAAAGTAAAAGCTACCTAAACAACGTGGTGCAAAGCTCAAACCTGAACTGCTTACCGCGGCTTCGCAAACCACAGGGCTGAGAACCGAGTGCAAATAACCAATCCCGCGGATGGCAGGAGCGGGCAAGGTCGAGGCAGTCCGTGGCAAACAAGCGGCTCGGTGCCTAAAGCTCCGGGTCACCCCGTTTCAAGCGCCCGCTCGAACCACGCCGAGAGAGGCGGGGAGCCAGATTCCCAGAAGCCAGCGCCTTGCGGCACTGACCGGGAACCGGCCGCGAGCGGCGGGGCCGCGGGACGGAAGCCGAGTGCTCCCCCAGGCCGGTGCGCGGCCAGAAGGCAAGAAGCAGACCACCGGTGCGCCCGCCGGAGCGCGGCCTAGCGGGCTCCCCGGACTTCAAACGAAGCCTCCGCGGAACCAACCCCAGGCACTCGCCCCTTCTGTTCCCGGGGTGGGGGCAACAAGGACGGTGTAGATCTCCACCGAGAGCGACGCGCACTCTCACCCAGCCCGCAGCCGACGCCGCACGGGCCTTCCCCAGGGGCTCCCGGTCCTCGGTCCCCGCCTGGGGGCTTGTCCCGGAGGGCCCGGGAGGGCGGGGACCCTGCGTCCCTCCAGGCACAGCCACTTGGCCGACCGCACGTGGGTCCCGGGAGAGGGGAGAAGCGGGGGTCACTCACCGATCGGCGGCCACCCCGCTGACTCCGGACCGGCGCGGCGCGCGGAGCTGCCGGGTGACGCGGCGACGCGGGCGCGAGTTTGAAAGTCGCTCTCGGAAGGGGCCGAGGCTGCCGGCTGTGCCCGCCCACTGCCGGCCGGGAGGCGGCGGGGGACGCGGCCCGCTGCGAGCGCGGTCCTCGGGGACCCCGTGTGCGCGCCGCTTCCCGGCGCCCCGCGGGAAGTCAGGGCCGAGCGGTGCCAGAACCGAGGCGGGCCGGAGGGAGCGGGCGAGGGAGAGAGGGAGGGCCGGCGCGCGGGAGGGGCGGACCAGGAATTTTTCCAGTGGGTGGAGACTGGCGCTGGCGGCTGGAATCCAGCAATCTGCAGCTCCGCGGGGCTGGGGGTGGGGTGGGGGGCCGAACCTTCGGGGCGCTGCGAAGGCAAAGCGGGGCGCAGCGAGGCTCGGCCTTGGCTAATGATTAACGCCCCCTGCGGGGGAGAGCGCTGCCACCCGCGCGGGAGGCTGGAGGACCGCCGGCCCCGCCCGGATTACCTAGATACACGTGGTGGGGGTCACCCTAGTGTCACAGCCCTGAGACAGTGGACATCCCAAACATCCCCAGGGTACGGGCTGGAGGGGGAGGGGGGTTAGGCCCAGCCATGGCGGGAGGGCTGTGTCTAGCGAGTCCGGAGTCGGGATTGGAGGCGGAGGTCCCGATCCACCCCCACGGCAGCCGGTCACCTCTGCCCGCGTGAGTCAGAAAAGCACGTCTCGAATTCCTCCCTGAAACCAGGTCTCGGGGCGGCCCCTTGACGGAGGTAAACCCAAACAGGAGAAGGTGACCACCTGGCAGGGGTGAGGTGGCCTCCGGGAGGAACTGTAGGTGGGAACACAAGACGCGGAAATGTGGTGATCGAGGCCCCCAGTTCTGCAGAGAACACGCGCGCGCACACACATGTACACCCACTGCCCGTGATCTTGGACGCGCGGAAAGGCACACACCTGAGAATCGGAGGGCGGGGGGGTGGGGAGGGAGGCGGGGAATGAGGACATTCAATGACTCGGCCGTCGGATTGTGAGCAAAAGCACCAATCTAAGAAAGAAAAGCATAATCATTCAGCGGTAAAGATGGGGGGGAGGATGCCAGTCCCACTGACACTAAAGTGAGGAAAGCCCAGCGTGGGACCCCGCAAGAGGAACGACTCCCACTGGTCACAGTGCCCCGGGGGGAGGGGGTCCCTCAGATTTACGCAAGGGGGCGGGGCGGGGCGGGGCCGGGCGAGAGGAAATGGCTTTCAGGTGACTTTGAAACCCGACCCTGGGGAAAGGTACGGTGCTGTCCCCGCGCTTCTGACTTGGGGGAGGCTCGAGGCCTGGCCAGCCCCAATGTTCCAGCCCGCATTCCTTAAGGAGGAAGGATCTGTTCTGGCCTTGCGGAGCTCCAGCCCCCGGGACACACCCGAGAGAGCCGAGATTGCAGAAGGGCTCCTCGCATATAAACTTCCGCCGAGGCTCCCTGGACCGTACGTCCCCGCTGGAGGGGAAAAAGAAGCCTCAGCCCTGGGCTGCCATCCTGGGGATATGCTATCCTCTCGCTTCCCCTCCACCTCCTTTGTTTTGCCCTTTTCTCTGATCGTCTGAATCTTACAGACCCTTGCCTGACCGGCAGAAATCCCCTGACCTAACTTGTGAATGCAGCCCTCCGTCCCCGGCCAGAGCAGGTAACAGTGTTAATGACGGTAACAATGACTGTCCTTTAGTTTATGCATGCAGTGCCTGGCTGATAGGCTTTAAGCCCCTCCCCATTTTCCAGAGAGAATTCTGAAGCTCAGAAGATGACAATCTTCCAAAGTACAGACCAACAAGAGTCTAGGTGGGTCTAACATTGATCGAGGTGCTTACTGTGTTGGGGCTTTGCAAGAATGCTTTGCAAGAACAGTAGAAACTGAGGCTGGGTCATAAAAGCTAGTGAGTGGTAAACCTGGCAGTCATAATAGAGGAAGAACTGGACTTTGAACTACTACCTTCTTTGCTTTCTTTCTGACACTTAGATTCAATCCAGTACTTGATTATGAGGTCTGGAATTGTTTCTAATGGTTGTAATTTCTATCTCATATCAATAAGACTGTAATCTTTCTACAGCAGAAGACTGAAGGAAGTGTTTAGTAAAGCTACACTGAAGACAAGCTACAAATTCTTATTTTTAAAGGTTGGGCATTGGTGGCTCAGGCCTGTAATCCTAGCTACTTGGGAGGCTGAGAACTGGAGGACTGCAGCTTGAGGCCAGTTCAGGAAGAGGAGTTCACTAGACTCCATCTCCAAAATACCCAGCCAAAAGCAGGCTTGAGGAGCATCAGCTGAAAAAGGTGGAGTCCTGAATCCAAACTCCAGCTGGAGAGAGAGAGAGAGAGAGGATGAAATAAAAGAAAACCAAAGAGACAAAGAAAGAGAGAGAGCGAGACAGAGAGAGAAAAGAATAAGAATTGATGTCTGGGATGGAGGTACCAAGCTTCAGCCACTCCACAGCTCTGCGTCTCCTTCCTCTCAATGCTTGCTGAGGGAGCCTCACCCTGCTATTAAACCATTTATTATGATAATAATACCTTGAATCTCAGTGATGCCTTTAATCTAAGATCTCCAAGTGTCTTAACAAATACAGATTAATTCATCTTCACAGCACCCCCACTGAGAGGGGAGAAATGAAGGTGTTCTCCCCATTTTATGGGTGAGAAAAACAAAACAACCCCAAGTTCTGATGACTCACTGTGGAACTCAGCGGCCGTTTCTCATCTCTTCCCCTCCTCCTCCTTGGCTCCTGACTGCCAACACTTGCATGAAAATTTCAAATCCCAGAGACAAAGGCCATTGAGTTTTCACAATAAAGGACATTTCCAAACTGTCATTTCAGCTGCTCTATTGTGGCAGACCTCAAGAGGGAGGGGATGTAAACACAGCAAGATCCCTCCCTGCCCTTGCTCCTGGGGCTCTGTTCTCTGGCTCTAAGAGCTTGGCTAACAGAGATGGAGGAATGAAATCCCAAACATAGATGAAATCCTCCTCAGTAGTGACTCTAAAACCCTCCTAATCTCTCAAGCCTCAAGGCCTCCAGAGTTCCCAGTTGAATTTTAGCAATGTTTCCTAGTGTGGCTGGAAATGTAGTTCAGTGGTAGAAAACTTGCATAGCATGCCCAATTCCCTGGATTACAGCTGGGGGAGGGAGAGAGGAGGAAGAAGAGGAGGAGAATGAGCCACAGCCAACAAGAAAGAAAGAAAAAAAAATCTAGACACCATCAAACATTGAAACTTTATGTGTCAAAACACATCAAGAACCAGGTTCACACCTGTAATCCTAGCTATTCTGTTGGCTGAGATCTGAGGATCTCTATTCAAAGCCAGCCCAGACAAGAAAGTCCATAAGACTCTCATCTCCAATTAACCAGCAAAAAGCTGGAAGTGACTCTGTGGCTCAAATGGTAGAGCAGCAGCCTTGAGCAAAAACCTAAAAGACAGAACCTAGGCCCTTAGTTCAAGCCTCAGTAATGGGGGGCGAGGGGGGAGGGAGTGAAAAGCCAATCCAAAAAATGGAGGTAGGCAGGGAGAACAAATATCCAACTTCATTAGCCATCAGGGAAATGCAAATAAGAAGCATAATGAAATATCGTTTCCGGTAAAGTGACTATGATCAAATACATATAACATGCCAGGCCGATGGTGCACACCTATAATAATACTACTGGGAAAGTGGGGCTAAGGATTCAAGTTTAAGGCCAGCATGGGCTATGTAGTGAGACTCTCTGTTTCAAAAAAAAAAAAAAGAGCATATAATGATGTTGGAAAGGATGTGAAGAAATTAGAACCTTGTGCTGCTAGAAATGTAAAATGTTATAGCTGCTTTGGAACAGTTTTTTCAAAAAGTTAAACAGATTTGTTTTAGGACCCTACAATTCATATCACCAGGAAAAATGAAACCACTTATCCAACAAAGTTGTCTACTCTGATATTCACAGCAGCATTATTCATTTAAATAACCCAAAGAAACAACCCAAATGTCTATCAACAGATAAATGAATAAACAAGAGGTGGTAGGGTTATGGTTTGAAGCCAGTCTAAGCAAGAAAGTTCATAAGACTCATCTCCAATTAATCACCAAAACAAAACAAAACCAGAAATGGCTCAAGTGGTAGAGCGCTAGCCTTGAGCACAAACGCTCAGGGATAGCCCCAGACCCTAAGTTCAAAGCCCCAGGACTTGCACCAACATTCCCTGCCCCCCAAAACAGTGATCAATTCTTGGCTGGACCTTGAAAACATGTACTAAATAAAAGAAGCCAGTCATAAGAGACAGAATAATATTATGAGGACTTGAGTATAGAGTTATTCTATACAGAAGGAAAGTAGACTGGCATTGTCTTACAGCTGAGAAGGGTTCAGGGAGGTTGGAGAAAATGAGGAATAACAGAGAACAAGTCCAGGGCTGTAGTAAAGCACTGACACAAAGGTTCTAAAGTGTTATGATGCTGCACTACTCTGAATGGGCTAAAAACTATTGAATTGGTTTTTCTGGTACTGAGGATTACACAAGGCAATGCTAAGTCTATACTAAGCATGGACTCTTATCACGCTACATGCCAGCCCAAATTATAAATGTTACTCTCGGTTTTAACTTATGTATTTACATTTTTTTGAGACAAGATCTCACTACATTGCCTAGGCTGTTCCTAAATTCCTGAGTTTAAGCAATCCTCCTGCTTCTACTTCCTTACTTAGGGATTAGAACCACAGGAGTTTCCCACCATGCCTGGCTGTTTTGTCCCTTTTATTCTTTCTTTCTTCCTTTCTACCTAGCAGATACCAGAACCTGAGTTGAAACCCCAAAAACCCCAAGAAGAAAAGAAAAGAAACTACATATGAGCCTTTCACCTAAGCAAGAGTTACCTATAAGCAGAATGTGACAGAATCTTATGACTCTCTGTGGGCTAGACCCCATTCTTCACATTTCAGCAGAGCATACTAGGAAGTTGAGAGTCACTGTAAATCAGCCTTAGAATGAATGCTCAGTGATACAAAGCCTTGCAGCTAGCCCCAGGCTTCCAGACGACCCAAGTAAAAAGGATTATTTGTAACTAACTCTGAGAGAGTCACGACCTCTAAGGGAAGAAGGTC